TTTTTCTTCTCTATTGCTAACTATTACCATGTTTTCTAATAAAGAGTTATATATTGGGATATTTACTAAATAATCTTCATCTAATTACTTCACAAGTTTGTAGTTTTTTATTTACTTCCTTCCCTTTCACTATAGTTTGGATACCGTCGACGGTAACGCGCTCTAACTATAGCGTGTTGCGATGTTCGACTGAGTATCAAACTTAAGGTTTTCTTACAGTGTTGCTCTTGTTACTCACATCCTATTTCTCCTTCCCATCCATTTACTTATCGTCTATTACGTTATTACTTTATGTTCGTTCTCGTTTACGTTCTTTGTTGTTGCTTTTTGTTCGTTATGTTACGCGTACTGTGTTATTGCTTTTTTGTTCGTTCATGTTCGCGTTCGTCGGTTATTTTTGTTCGTTCTTATTCGCGTTCGTTGATTCTTGGTCTTTGATTATGTTTAACTTTTGTTTTTTGCCAACCTTCATCCACTGATGAGCCTCGGGGTTGGCAAAAAACAAAGTGGTTCGTCTGGATATAAGAGGCGAAACGAACCACCAATTTAGTTTTTTTATTTTTTAATGTGTTTTAATGTTATTGATCTTTTTTAAAATTGTGCGAGAACTAGTGCATAGTTTTCACTTTAAAACAGTCAGATCCGAATTTGGGGGCTTATCGTGGGTCTACAGACCGAAACTCGCCTTATCCGTCTATTATTCACTGACGCGAATCCCATTTGTTAATTTCGACCGCATTATTTCATTCGGACGAGAACATATCGTTCCCATGTATCGTTGGGGGTTTCTTTTCCATGAAGTCAATTGAAGCTGTTCCAGGCTCCTTACTGGTTAGGGTCTCGTCAAGTCAGATCTTGCCATCCTTATCTTAGCCAGCCATTCGTTCGTTCCCATCTCCGCTGTCTGCATTTGGTGATTATCCTCGTTCACCTGCTGCCTTCTTTCAAAACACTCTCATGTCCTTATAATATTTCGTTGTGATTGCTTTGCTAAAATTTTGATAGTCCTTCCCAACTAGGTACTGGTGCGGCGGGAGACGGGAGTTAGGAACGATTTTGGGTAATCGATTAGCCGCACGCGGCTGCCGCGGACCACTCATTCGCTGTTATTTATATTAGCGCGCCTTTAGAGCGCATTCAATAAATAAATAAATAAATAAATATTACAGCTCCAGCGTTCTTCATACAGCTCAATCGATATGCGATCATTATTTTATGCATAGTTCTACTATTAGTACTTTTGCTCTTGTATTTCCTACCTACTGCTGCATCCTGCTACATTCCTTCGCGCGCGACACCCCTCTCATCGCGACGCGACCATTTCGTTCCTAACGCACCACACCCCTGATGCAGCATTTCAGAAAAGGGCACCTAACATTTCCTGCTTCTTTATTCGTTGCTGCTTCGTTTGCATGAGATGGCCAAAAAGATGCCCTTGAAATCTGAGAACATCGAAAAGCTCTGCGAGAAACTAAATAGCGGTCGCAAAAATCACCGAACAAATGAGCTTTGCAGCTTTTTGGCTTGGCCGGTTTGGACCCTCAGTTTTGCAGAACATGCTCTGAACTTTGTAGAAAGCTGTAGAAAATCCTATGAAAACTCAAGGAAGGATGGAGCCTTTGAGTGTTAATCAACCCCGTCTGAGGGATGCGCCCCGCATTCGACTTCCATTAAGAATCGTAGTGACATAATGAGTGCGTGTGTGGCCTATACAATGAATTGCTTCGACCAGCCGATGCACCAGTCGTTTTATACTCCAAGACGGGTCTGATCCCAATTAACTAACCCTGGAGAGATGGAGGACTTGGTAGGCCTCGATATCGATCGGGGATTCGTACCCATGACCATGCAACTGCGCCACTTGCCACTACGCCAACTTAGCTATGGAAATATTTCAAAAAGATTTAAAAATTGCGGTTCAGCAGGATCTTTGCAGTTGAGAGCCAAAAAGTCGAGAGCATGCTATGCAGCACGATTTATGTGTCTGCTGACATATTTCATTTTTACATGGCTAATTTTTCATCGCTGTTATATGATGCCTTTGTTCTCATCGTTGACAACGGTATTGCAATGTATTTACACTCAATTATAGTAATACACAATAGTGCAGCGAAGTAATTGAAATATTTGAGATCTGAGCCTTCGCTTCGAAGCCTCCCCAGATGCATTCGATCTCCGGAAAATTGATGTTCTGCAAGCCTACCGTAACGTCCAACAACATGGATTCGAGGCATATTTTATGACGTTGATCAATGAATTGGGATATACCTCATCTCGTTATATGTTAAGCTATTTTCAGATGATAAATTGTAGTAATTACCATACTGTCACATAAATATATCTCGGTGGAGTTGAAGTTTGACAAATGGGTCATCAAGTCATCACGTCTGGCGTTTTTTACATTATAATGGAGTGAAGCCCGTCAAGTCGTGCTAAGGCGCTTTGAAATTTCTGTCTATTTCTGATCCTCAAGTATGCTATGGCCAGTTCAGCCTCACTGTTGGAAGCTCGAATAGCGCCATTCTCTTATCCGATGCATCCTGAAGATGGGATTACGTGTTACTTAACGAGTGCTGGCTAGTTTTGAAGTGGTTTCGATTGTATACAGGTTTCCCATCACTTTTTATCATCTTTTGTCTGTTGGTGAGCCCCTTTGGAGAAATGGTTGCAGTAGTAATGCTGCCGAGGAAGCCGCAGATAAGAGTTGAAAACATATAGCATTAGCGAAGGCTTTTAGCTAGACGGTTCACTGAGGATGATCGGATCATAATTTCATCACTTTATAAGCATGTGGGTTGATAAGCAGTAGGAAATATGTCATAAGTATCTATTGAAGGAAGGGCCAGGCAAGCTAGTGTCCTGATGTTAAAGTGTATAAGAACCGTGCTCGCAAAGAATAAGTGCAGGATCGAGTCCAGCTCAAGACAAAAGTCCAATCTATAAATCGGCCTTAGCTTTTGCATTCAAAAAAATCTCCCAGGTTCATCAATATTTCGCACCTTCACGAGCTGACACTCCTTGGCTATCGCGTTAGTTTGTCCAGAATGGAGTAGATTACTCCCATCCCTGTCGGTTACACCCGCCAATCATTGGAAATTAATTACATATCAACAGTCTTCAACTTCTCTATTGTTTTAACCTCGGCATTGTCGTTTACGTTGATAATAGAATTCTTCTGCCGTACGAGATTTTTAGGTGGAACACTTAATTAACTTAACGGCCTGACGTTCCGGTTTAAGGTAAGACGTCGTCGTCTTCAGAGGCTAGGCTCCACCGTCAGATTGGATAGGATCCGCTGTAGCCAGGGGCGACTGTCAGTAGCGAACCAATATGAATTTGTTTTATCATTGGAAATTATGAATTGAAAAAGTTGTAGGCCCACTGCTTGGAACTGAAAAGGAACGCCAAACAGTGGCGATGGCAACCGTCTTCTACTTTTTAACTGGAAAAGAATAACTGAGTGCTGTTCCCCGGAGTTGAGTAGACTGAACTGACAAATGGGTTTTGGCTCTTCAAAAATTCTTGGCTGAGTTATGTGGCTCACAAAAGATAAGGGGAATGGGGATAAAGTGTCAATAAACCCGCTTTGGGATTCGCCGCGCATTCGACTACCATTCAAAACCGTAGAGGCGTTTCAGTTTCAAGTGTGTTTATAGCATACGCAATACACTAAGGTTGCCTGCCACGCACAAGCCAGTGCTTTATCCTCCAAGACACGTCTAGTACCAACTATCAGAGCCCGAAGGGATGTAGGGCTTGGTTGCCTTTTGGAGGATCGACCCGGGATTCGAACCGCGGATTATGCGTGTTCTACGGCAATGTGACCAGCCGATCGATACATGGTTATACCGACCGTAGACATTGCGCGTCGCAACCGCCCGCAGAACACAGTAGTCTGCAACGCACGGACGCAAAGTCTGAACGCAGCCAGTCGCTGACAGCATTTTCTAGGAAAGATGTAGAATCTTTATGATCCCACTGGTAGAATTTTTACCGAAAACATTAAGAAGAACACGGCGTATTCAGTTCACATTACATCAACAACTTGCATCTTTATCATGATTCTCTTGCCAGAATGTCAAATTTTCTCACCGTTGACCATCCACGTGTCCACACATAATGAAGAGAAGGAACAAGAGGAACAGAGAGAAGCCTTTCGAAATAACACCTCACCCGCTGTCAGTACTACGGTATCAACGGGGTCGAACAGTTGCACATTTATTTACGCGACTTCGGATACGGTAGCACCCACAGTATCCGAATACCAGGATGGAATAAAAAAAAACACGCTATATATAAACTTGTATTAAGTCAGATATTCAATAGAAGTTTGTCGTGTCACCGGTCTGATTGGGCTGATTGGGCTAAACTGATTCGGCATGTCTGAATATTATAGGAGAGTAGGATGCACAAACACGACTATACAACACAAAAGTTACCAGATCGCCGGCCGAAGAGAATTAAAGAGTAATGGGGTAGAAGTAGATTCAGATCTCTTAGGTTTCAGCTCAGCTGGCGTCGTCGCATACATGTCCAATTACTTGTAAAAGTCAGATCAACGGGATAATACTGTCATAACACGTGATAACGAATCAAAATGCATTCTTGATCTAGATGATGAATTCAAATTTATCAAAATTGTTTTAGGGAGAAGATGGAGCACGGGTGGGCGTGACAGGCTGATGGGCGGTGCCGGGCCAGCGGCAGCTGCTACGGGCTTGAATGCAGGCACGCGTGCGCTAGATGTAACACGCACGCGTGCGTCTGCGCACGTGACGATCACGGATGGGCGGCGAAATTTGGATTGCACACCTCTATGTCGCCTGTAGGTGCCAAACCTGGACACTCGTACACGCTGAAGTTGTTCTCGTCATCAGCTCCGTCGTCCTCACCATCAGATTCGAGTCCAGCTGAAATTTATCATTATAAATCACAACCAAATGAGGTGATAGGAATAAGAACTGGGCTGTTTAGAAATGAAAAAGGCTGACGTAAGTATAGCACATAGAATCGATTGAACTACAATTACATAAAAAGTCTTATAAAGATGGTGATTTATAGAGAAAACTTCAGTCTCGGACTGGACTCGAACTCGTACCTGTACATACATAAAAAGTCTTGTCAACTACAATAGTCCAAACCGGTTTCGCTTGAAAAGTTGAACCTATGGATTTCCAACTCGCTACTGTATGCTCTCCAAACCCAGAAGAAGAGGAACTGCTATGATTCAGTTCAAAGAATTAAAATGGAATCAAAAACGTTTCAAGTAGATATCGGTTGTGCTCATGTGAGGGTGAATCGACCGTACCGGGTGCGGTGCAGTAGGAACGAAATTGTCGCGTCGCGGCGAGAGGGACGCCGCGCGCGAAGGAATGTAGCAGGATGCAGCAGCCAGTAAGAAATTCAGCAACAAAAGATCTAACAGTAGAATCATGCCAAAAGTAATAACCGCATAGCGATTGAGCTGCATGAAGGACACTAGAACTGTTATAACTAGGTAAATGGTCCACGACAGCCGCATGCGGCGGATCGATTACACAAAACCTTTCCTACTGCCCGTCCCCCGACCGTACCCAGGATGGAAGGGGGAGCCTTCCATAGTGCGCAACGGAATTCATGCCATATCTAGCTATTTCGTTTTCTATGCGACCAAAATTGTGGTAAAAATTTAAATACAGGTTTTTATAATAAGAAATGGTCTAGAAAGTCCAAAAAATGTATAAGAATCATTTTAAATTGAAATCACAAGCATGAAGGGGTTGAGAGGCGGGCTGGAGTGCGCAATTTCGCATATGTACTTCCAACTGTGATAGAATGTTATAAAAGATTACATGTTCTAGTGAAATAAGCAGAAATTCAGAATGCTTCACTGCTTTCTTCTTTGAAATGTCAGAGCGCAGACGTGTAAGCTGTTCTACCAACTCGTACGCCCCCTCAAACTGGGAAGCCTAATCCATGGATTTCTGACGGAGTTCTTTTGTTCCGCACCATTTGTGTTCAAAAAGATGGTTTTTTTGTTCCGAGTTCTTGAGTTCTCAGAGCGATTGCGCTGCCCTTTTTAGCCAACATGTAAAAGTAATTGAAAAAATCGGATCTGCATTACCCAACTCTCGTGTAACAAATCCAATTGTCAATGAAGAATAAAAAAAGGAAATCACTCTAAATCAAATAGAGCAGTAAGTTAAGATAACGAGCAGTTTTCTTCAAAGTGCCTCCAAAAAACCGTTAAAAGTAATCTTGTCCGGCAGTGCATCATCTACGCAGATTTTTTGTTCGGTGCGTAGCCCCTATTGATGATAAAATACTCAAAGCTCTTCTTACATGGGAAGGATCCCAAGTCGAAGAGGCCATTTGAAATGGGACCTATACTGCTAGACGTATTTTTTGATACTGATTTCAAATATGCATTCAAAATCTGCCAAACGATTCTCTGAATGAAGTTATGGAGGTGGTCTCCGGAGAGCGCTCAACAGGGGAAAGCACAAAAGCCA